AATTGGAATTTTTAAATAGCAGGATTGTTCTTCCACATTATGATATAGTTACGGCCTATATATGTGAAGCATCTGGGCACAGGCCAAAAATGCAGGTCATGACGATTTATTTCGCTGCCGAACACGTGGCAAATCAGCGAGGCTCACACAGACTACCACTTGTTTTAACAGATCTGATGATAATTAGAATTTTATAAGGCAATATTTGTGGGCGACTCCCCACTGAATGAAGTGACGACCGGGTAAGACATGCAGGAATTCTATTGATACAGGTGGTTCAAGACCGTGTGACTTATGAAGGGTTCAGGTACAGTTAGTTAACATATTTTCAAGAAGATCCCTTCTAAATTCACGTATTGTGACAGCAAATACGGAAACCTACCTCGACATTTTGCTAAGCCTGACGCGCCCTTGGCAATTTATACTACATGGTTGGTCTTGTTTCGAGATAAGTAATTTAGAGGAATAATTTCACCTCTAACGTTGAAAAAAAAAAACAATAAAGTTTTTAATGTCATTGCAATATTCAAAGAAATCAAAATTTAACTTTAATATAAAGTGAAATGCCACTTAAAAGGCTTAAAACAAATAGAATAATTTCACGATGTGAAGTTGGGGTTTTAAGCTCGACCGACAAGAACCGACCATACATCTTCAGTATACGAAATTAGTTTATTTTTTTAGTTCTTTGAAGTCTGTTTTTAATTTTCTATTAAAAATCTATTGTATGTATGTATTTTTATATGTATTAAGTAACGATTATATCTTATTTTCGTTTTTTATCTTTGTTTAGCTCTAACTCACTCTTTCAGCAAGGTTATTTTACCGGGCCTGAGCTTGATGCACTTGACTTTCCATATCAGGTTTGATCACATCCAATCATGTATGAGCTCGCTTTTCAAAAATAAGCATTGCTAAGCTCTCGTCTGTTAAAAGACGTTAATTTCACTAAAACTGTTTAAAAAATTTCTGTTATCATTTCCTGGCTTTTACCACCTTTATAGAAAGTGGGAATCTATTGCTGCTCAGTAGCCCCTCTGAATAATTAATAAGAAGTTGTTTCACCCTTTCGTTAACACCTTCCACTTATCTAGAGACCTATTCAAATACACACAAAAGATTTCATCAAAATCGGTTGGATAGTTTCAAAGTCTATAACGGACAAAGGTAGAAACATTTTTGTGTTTTATATATATATATATATATTTGCACAAGGACTTAAACTGTTAGGCTATGTTGGACATTATTTAAATTATGTAACACCATTGTTAACGACGTAGTAACGGTGCGGTACAAGAGTATCCAATACAGAGTAAAACTGAAACATGAGATAGGCAGCAGCATCTTCCTGATGAACAACTCAAAATTAGATAAAAACTGCCGTTGTCAACCCGCTTGTCACGCGTGGCAACTGTGGCAACTGTGGAAAAAACCCGTTTATGATGCAATCTATGAGGCAGTCCTTTGTTTAGCTGTGGAATTTTAAAGGCTGTAGTAGATGAATCGATGGATGAATTGTTAAACACATATTCTATGCAAATAAATGCTTTGAATTTGAACATTTGACGTTTCGAGTACCACACAGTAGTACCCATTATCGATGTTCGTAACGATAAGTACAAAGTAAGTATATTGATAATATAAATTTAAGATATCATTGGATATTGAATTAAAAACAGATTGATTGACTGATAAACTGAATTATTATCTCTATATCTCTTTAGAGCTAGGGATGCCAGGTACAGGCATTTTATTTCCGGGACAATTCTAGGGTTTCGAATTCAGTCGGTAGAAAAATATACGAAAATAGATATTTATTTTTTTTTAAATCACTTTACTTGTAATATCTTGCGAACATACTGTTATATCTATGGTAAAAACTAACTTACCTACCTACATTACCCATATAATGCAACGCAATGTATTTTAAAATATTAAACACAAAATTTCAATCAAATATTTAGCACCGTCTCTCGCTTTTACTTATTCATTAAATAAAACTTTCGTAAAAAATCAACATTAGTGTTTATTTACTTAGTAAACATTTGCTATGAAAACAACATTAGCTCTTATCATGACACAAAAAAATAAAACTTAAAACATAAATTATTGAGATCGCTTTCTCGCTTGAATGAGCCGAGACCAAATGGTCGCCTCCTATGGTAGAAAATCAACACTAGATTAAAGTCAAATATTTATACCACAATTATTTGGAATCAGTAATTACATCAAACGATTAACCAACTACTTTTTTTTAAATTATTTGTAACACTGGATTTTGCCATAATTTGAAGCTTTTCTCTGTCAGGGCTTTGCAGAACACACATTATTTCTGAGCAAGACGCACTAAAATTGATGCGAGTCGGCAGCTCAGACTTGATCAAATCCGTATACATTTTGTTTGGATCTTTCGTGCATAAATTATTCAGAAGGCTGAAAATTCTCTCGCAGTAGGCGTTGCTCGTTGGATTTCAAAGGACAAAATCAATTGTTCTCTTTGGATTTACAAAATCATTGGAATTGTTTGTTCTAAAAAAGTGGGCTCATATTTTTTCATTAAGCAAATCTTTTGGAAGAACCTCAAAGTCAGCTTTCAGACATGCAAATTTTGAATGCAGGCAGTCAATGTTAACCGCAGCTACAATTTTGAATATGGAAGAAAATTCAGATGTTCCGTGTCAATTTTAATTCTTCTGATCTGAGAGACAAAAGCTGAATTTTTTTATAAATTCCGTCAGGTCCAAAATGTCTCTCGAAAATCTCTTCGAAATATGTCACCTTTCGTTGCCAAAAATTTGAGCTTGTGATGTAAATTTCTTTCCTTATTGGTTTTTATAAATGCCTTTGTCCTTAATACCAAAAATTGTCAATCAACCTGCCTTTTGGTTGACAAAAAAGACTTTGCATTGGACGATCAATGTCCAAAATAGTGAAATTGTCGCTTCCTAATAGTAATATAACTTTCGTAAATTCAGGCAATACATTACTCACAAAGAAAAGGTAACAGTCATTCACTCTCCTTTTAAAGTATGTCATTATTATCCCAAGCTTCGCATCCTTCAGAAATAAAATTCCATAGCACGCTGTGGATGTTATTTGAGTCTTTTCCTTTAGAATTAACTGCAGGTCCACTATACGTTAGTCGATCTATAGCTGGCAAAAGAGAAAAACATATTTTAGCAACATTTCTTAGCAGCTTTTTGTATCTTATTTGAGCACATTCAAAGCATTTCTTTAGCTAAATTTTTTCTAAATTTTTATTGCAGTGCTCTCCCCGTTAACATAGATGCCTCTCAGTGCATACTTCACACAATTATTTATAACATGATAGCTTTGAAAGCATGCTCGTTGTCTGATTTTAATTTCTAAAATACAGAATTGTGAATACCTTAATTTACAGAGGCATTATCTGTATTGTATTTACTTACTAGATAAATGCTGAGGTCTACTAGATAAATGAGGAGGGGAGCATCAGCAGTGAGTTTTTTATGGCATTCATAAATACAAAGAGATGTTTCATGAGCGTCTTCGTAACAGTCAAGTAATTTTTGGCATGCATCTTTTTTACTATCAAAATACTGAACTATATAAGGAAATATTTTTATATTACCAACATTCGATGCGTTTGAGCCTACTGAAAAATAATTATTTTTTTTTAAATCAGAGACCAGTTTTTCTTGGCTATATGGTTCCAGTACATTGAGTGTCATTGCTGAGACTTTTGTATGTCCACGTTTCATTTTGCAGTTATTTGACTATCCGGAATAAATCTATTAATATATAACTCAATCCATATTTACGTTATAATAAATAAGTGATATTTCCGCTTTTGTGACCGAAATTTCTTCCTTTGTATTTTTTTTATTAAAATTTTTTCCATGCATCTTGAAGTTTTTCCGGCTGTTGCCATTCTTTTAAGTTTGTTGCTATTTACGCGCAACTGCAACAATATACAGTAGTTGTTATGTATTGTACACACACTTGTACTAGGTAATGTTCCTACACCTATGACCTACGACACGCAAAAATAAATAACAAATATTTATTTTTGCGTGTCGAAAAACTATATATATACAAAACACATTATTAGCGATAAAATGTACAAAAACAATAAACTAATAAAAGTTGTAACCTACATCTTTTTAAATTAAACCTCTTACGTACACACGCAACAAAACATGGGTACTTTATCCATCAACGACGTATTTAAAACAAAATAAGTCATTAGTTAAAACAAAACACGAGTGAACACGACGCAGGGCATGGCGGGTGCGCGCGGGCAGTTTAGCGGGGAAGGGGCAAAGGAGAGAGGGAGGCGGGTGGCCGCGCCCGCGCATTAACAACGTGAAATTGCCACACCTACGTCAAACTCTCTCAAGGATGAAATAAAGAATAAAATAATAATAATAATAATAAACGCAGATGGCGAACTGTATCCACGTAGTGCATTGTACCACATTGTATATTACTTTAAAAATTATATTATGTTAAAATTGTATTCGGCCGTTACGTACTGACCTACGTCAATCCGCAGCGCGCTCGCTGCTGTGAGTCATCGACACCTGTTGCTGGCCGGCACCGTTGAGTGCTTCAAGCGCTGTAATGGTCGAGATGACGTCACGCCAAGTAAGCTGCGCAGGATGCCCCGCTGTTACTATGGTAGACAGTACATTTATGAGGTGCGGAAAATGTAAACAATATTTCGATATTATGTGTGCCAATTTTAATGTAGAAATATTTGCAACAGTAACATCAGAATTTAAAAAGATGTGGATATGTTTCGAATGCTGTAGCAAAATACCTAAGCTTGATAATTCACATACCTCAGTGCGCCAACAGTTGAGCCGTGACACTACTGCAGTTGGTGATTGTTTGGATGTATCGATGCATAACCCAGATAAAATCACGTTCCAAAACGGAAATCGTCCTGCGCAGTTAGTGGTAAAGAAGAGTGACCCGTGTCCCCAAACATGGCCCTTGTAGTACAGGAAATAAAGCAAATGCAGGACGACTTCGAATCGCGCATTACCATTAAAATTTGCGCACTACTCAAGACTTCGGTATTTGAACAAATTTGCAATTTAACCAGTAAGATTGACAAATTAGAAGAAAAAATCCTAACAATGGACAAAAATAAAAGTGTATCAACGCAAGGCTATGCAGCGGCGGTACAGCACCCATCAAACCTAGATAATGAGAAAACTAAGCTGAAAGTAAAATCTGGCCCTCAGGAGAAAAATAAGGGAGCTTCGGACAAACGTAGTACATCCGCAAATGTAAACACATTCATCTCTTCTTTAGCGCCGGTTTCAAATTTAGTCTCTGATTCCAACACTTCAATTTAGGGGGTGAGCCATGAGACAACTGTTGCTCCCCGGGATGGCGAGGAGCAAAAAGACACGGAAGAGTGGATACAGGTGAGACGTAAATCTGGACGAGCATTGTTGCTGAGCGTGCTTCGCGGAACTGCAGCGCTGGGGGTGACGAAACTGCGTGCATCTGAGAGGTGGAGGTACTTGCATCTCTACTATGTTCAAGAGGGTACCACTGCGGAGGAGGTGCGTGCTCATCTCTGCTCTATTAGTGGAAATAATGATTGCACAGTGGAATAACTGAAACCAATGGGACGTTACTCATCGTACAAGCTGTAAGTCCCGTCAAGGATTAGGGACAGTGTTATGTCACCAAATAATTGGGCTGAAGACATCGGTATAAAATCGTGGCGGCAGAACTTTCGTACCAAAAAAGAAAATGCGTAACTTATATTTTTGTTATCAAAATGTTAGAGGTCTACGTACAAAATCGGATAATTTTAGGAATAATGTGACTCAATGCAACTTTGATATTATAGCCTTGACTAAAACCCTTTTGAACAGTTCCGTATCTGATGGCGAATTATTTACTTCTGAGTATTTAGTCGTGCGTAAAGACCACGCAGGGGACGTTGGGTGGGGAGGAGTGCTCCTTGCTGTACGAAACTACTATTCCTTGCAACAAGTAACTAATGTAGATGCCTATACGTCTGATATGGAACTGTTTTTCGCCATTATTGGTGGAAAAAGTGTTGAAAAGTTTTTATGTTCTTTCGTTTATTTGCCTCCTAAATGTAGTGATAATCTATATCTCAAAGTATTGACGTACATTGAAAATGCTATCATTGTATATTACTCTCTTAATGTCTTAATAATAGGAGATTTTAATTTGAACTCTTGTAGTCTTAATGTTAAGGATATTTTTAATTTTTTTGTTACTACAGTGGGCTTCAGCTCCATAACATTATGTATAACAAATGTGATGGCATGTTGGATCTCGTGTTGAGCAATTTTAACCCGGAGTCGGTCTTAATATCCGAAGGTTTAGAACCTTTAGTACCAATTGATAACTACCACCCACCGCTGGAAGTGACGCTTAGGTTCAATGCAATGCACTGGCCCATTCGCCGTCCTCTCTACCACCGGCTCAGTGCCCGGGAGCTTCTCCGAACTGGAATTGGCTTAAATCAGACTTTCTGGGCCTACACATGACATTAAAAAGTATAGATTGGTCGGACATGTTTGTAATTACAGACGTTGACGACGCTGTTGCGTTATTCTATCACCTTTTTATAATTGTATCAGTCAATATGTTCCAACTAAATCCCTTTACATGCTGAATTATAAGAACTTTTAACCAAAATGGTGTAGTGCTAATAATATAGGTAATAAACTTAAAAATATTATCATTTGAAACGGTATAAGACTGAAGGTAAAGAGTTCAACTAAAAACTTGATTGACAATGTATATGAACAGCGCTTACAAAATATTATTCCTAAACAAAATATAATTGACGATCCGGTCAAATTCTGGGGGTACGTTAAGGATAGGAAGAATCACAGGCAGCGTATGAACGTTTATGCTTCCGGTGGTATCGAAGTTGTTGTGCAATCTGCAGCAGATACTTTTGCGAAATATTTTAATTCGGTATATTAGGACGATGTATTACGTAATCAAACTGACAATGGGTGCGTTTGGCAGAAAAAAGCGCTAGCAAGCGCTTGTAAGCAAAATGGCGACCGTAAGCGGTAAGCGCTATCAAATCGTAAGTAGCTATTTTCCTCTAGGACACGAAGTTAGTTTTAACCGGGGAACATAACAAAAAAATAAATCAAAGAATACATTGTATTCTTTAATTTATTTTTTAGGACCAGCATGTACAATGTTTTTTAATATATATATATATATATATATATATATATATATATATATATATATATATATATATATATATATATATATATATATATATATATATATGTATATACATACTGTTTGCCCAAAATATATTATAATTGATACAAACGGTTCAAGGCTTAATATAGATAGAGAAAAATGACAGGTGTGATGTAGGCTAGTTCTAAAAACATGGAGTATTTTTTGGAAAATCAAAAAACTGATAAAATAAAATTCAATTCTGATATGATTTTCAATTACGATAGATCTGCAGGTTGTTTAAATTACACGCGGACGAAGTTATGGGCAATAGCCAGTTTTCCCCACGGATTTACTAGTTTCATTGAAATCCCTAATTACTTAAAGTGCTAATTTAGCAACTTTCCGGCGGCGATAGAAAATATTGTGAGAAAACTTGCATGTTTAAAGAATAAATCATACCGATGAGTCGTATAAGCTTGCCATCAAGCACTGAAACAGCAAGATCGATACGTTTTTTCTGGTTATATCGGATTAGCTAACACGTTCAATAATGGGTGGTGGTCTGTACTATTACCACACTGCGATAAAATAGGCTGTAAATTTACTTTAAGTTATGTTAATTATAAGATTATTCCACATTATTGAAAAAACATCGTTGAATGCAATTTTTTTATAATTTTGACAAAATCGATTGTAAGTGTAACACAGACTGGGCGTTGTCGTAGTGCGCCTGCTGATCATGAGATCTTGTGTTCGGATCCCGAGTAGCACGTAAATCGGTTGGGTTTCTTTACAAAAATACTCAGCAGCAGTCCGGAAGTTGGCGGTTTTTTACCCCCATGTATCTGATAGTAAGCCGTGGGTCCAGCTCTCTCCTCGGTCTTGTCGGTTTGTCTTCCAATTAGAATGTGTAAGGAAAAAGAAAGTTCACCTGTGCTTGCACACACACAAGTTTTAATGTACGTGCATTAAAATCCTACCCTGCGTAGATGACTGGTATCCAATGAGACTGCCCCTGCCTGGTTTGTGTAATACATACGTTGCGATAGAACGAGTGAGTGTTTTTTTTTCTATAAATCAATATCATAATGAATGTGTTTTAAAGAGTTAAGTTTACCTATGTATATATGGCCACTACAGTCCTAGAACAAAGGCTAGCGGTAATATCGCTTCTGAGTACTATGATGAAACTTATACCTGCCCTGTCCTTTATTTGTTTTCCATAAATGTGTGTTTCATTACATAAGAGAGACATTTAAAAATAGTTAAAGTATATTAAAAACTATTTATTAAGCTACTTAACTTATTTTTATCCTTTATTTATTTATTTTCTGTCTAAGTAGTGATGTAACAATATCCACAACCCCATATTGCTACGTGAGTGTCGTAAGAGATGATAAAAGGAAACAAACAGAACTAAAAATAACTGTAGCTGCCAACCCGCTTGTCAAATATAGCACCTGTAACAAATATTCACTCAATGAGGCGTTCTATGGGCGAAGACTATTGTTACGCGCCTAAGTCGACGGCACTAGCGCCATCTAGTGTCGGGTAACGGAGCGAGGGGAGAGCTTTCCAGAAAATGACATCACTAATCTTTCAACCGACAGCGCCATCTGTTGTCGACAGGAAAAACTAAGCTTCTGGAAGCAGACTCTCGAACTTTCGGCGCTTTGTCGATTGGTGCGCGTATTTACTCGAATGTTCTGGATGATTCGGTACTAATGTGTATTTATAGGCGCTGCAAGGTGCGATCGGGGAAGTATTGTATTTGGCGAGGCAAGCGAAGCTTCGGAGCGGAATAAAGTGAATTAGTGTGCTTAATTATTGGTGTTTTAAGTTTTAATTTCTGTAAAGAAAATTAAAGTGTTAATTTAGGTAATTATATCGGCAATTTTTATTGTCACGAACCTCAAGCTCGTAACATTATGTTCATCAGCACGCTAAAACTACTCATAAGAAATAACGATGAATTTTTAAATATTGCTACCTGACATAAATTGTTCACAGACTATATTTACACTGGTTAATTTCACCGATAATATTGATACTTACCAGTGCTCTTTTTTCTGCAAAAAAAGAATAAAAAAATGAAATTGCCGAACATTATTTTATAAAATATTCGTTTATTTATATAAAGTACCGTGTACTTTTTTTACTACAAGGTTCAAATATTATATATAATATTTTTTTTAATTAAAACAAATATTATATATAATAATAGTATACCTTAAACGATCCAAAAATAAATGGAAAAACATTAACAGTCATTCCATGACGTCTGCGATATCTCTGATCATTAATATTAATCTCGCAACTGCTGATAACGCATAGGTCATGGATAAGAGTTCTTCATTATTAATATTTAAATATAATCATTTTAGAAACTATATGAGTAAATAATCACTCACATTTTTTTTGAATCTTAAATTATTGTTCCAAATCCAAAATTTTCTCATGTGACAAATATTTTATTTATAAGCATATCATATACCTTTAATCCAGAAAATATTATTGGATATAAATTAAAATATTGAATTAATAAGCAAAGAAATCCTTGTATTATCTATGGCAAAATATAGGTATTTATGTAAATAAAAAACACTGTGTTCTAGAAAACTTAAATGTAGAGAGCAGATACGTTGTTACCCCAGAGAACTCAGATAGAAGGTCATGTTACCAGTTAACATAGTCTCCAGTTATCTACACTTACCAAAACACAGCAGTTAAGCTGCTATTTTACGCAGGTATTTTGTGAGAGCGTCGTTATCCTGTAATTGAGCCTGAATAAAAGTGGCAATTAACAACTGATGTTATATGAACGCTGTTGTTTTCTGAAAATTTTCCTGTAAACCCATTCACTGCACTTAAATGCTTAAGTTAGGAGTGGTTTACGACAATTATCGAATAATAGATTCAAACCCACCACTTACTTTTTAGACTTACACATACTTTTAAGAAACAGAGTACTTCCTTTCAATTATTCCATGATGGAGAAATTTTAGATTGTCTGGACTGCACATGCAATCTAACATGACTTGGATTCTAAGCGTTTCTGGATGGGTTTCTATAATAAGTATTTATTTAATATTAAGTCTCAAAGATAAAAATTATGAAATCTTTGAAGTTTTTACTTTTATTTATCCAATATTTA